GCCCCACTTGTCCAATATAGTAAAGGCCTGCTCTGCCTTAAGCACACCTGAGCCTCTGATCCTGGGAGACTGACCTCTGTGTTCCTTGGCTGCAGTTGTGCGACCCTGAATATTCTCACGGTAGCACTGCTGTTTAATCTGCAGTGGGCATGCCTGACCTGTCTCTGTGAGGTCACTGCCTTCCATTCTCTCCTGCTCCTGAAGCATGCAGGGTCTTGGTAAATGCAGATCCCTATGGTCTTGGTTTCTGACAAGCTCCCGCTGATGCAGAAGCCAGGCCTAGCCACTGCCGCTTGGCTCCAGTATGATGTAAGCACCCAGGCAAAGGGTCCACCAGAGGATGAAAATGTGTACAATTAATATCTGGCCACCAGTTTTTTAAAAGTATACATTCTGAAGTGAACTTGCAGAGCCCCAGGCTTCTGTGTGCAGCCGCCACATAGGAAATCACGCCTAGCGAGCATGCACGCTCCAGAGTCCCACACGGAGCACAGGCATCTCTGAGTGGCATGGCCAAGAACCACCCCCATGTTTGTGCTCTTAGCATCCAGTTACCCTTACTGTCTTTCCACCCCCCCCCCACACCTTGTTTTTCATTCACAAGATCTCATACAGCCCAGGCCGGCCTTAAGCATGTTACATAATTGAGTATGACCATGAACTGCCTACTTCTCCTGAGTGCTGGGTTTGCAGGAGTGTGCCAGGCTTTACAAGAATCTTTGTACATGTCAGGCAAGCACCCTACCAACTGAACTATGTCCTTTCTGATGACAAGCCCCACTGGGTGTGTTGTGATGGCAACCTAAAACGAACAAGCATAGCCAGAGCCTAGCCTGAGAATGAATGAGCCCATGGGAGCTGGCCAGTGTGGGAGAAGTCTTTGGTCTGCCTCAGTCGGCCACTAACCACCCAAGGTTATCTACTCTGTAGCGTACTGGGCCATATGGACTAAGATAGCATGGCTTCTGACTATGAAGCTGGTGGCGGGAGCTGACTAGCATGCGTAGGCTCTTAGAAAGACGCCAGCTAGCACATCATCCAGAGGAAGGGGTGGGGACCCTGTGCCTGAGTTCTTTCTCAGGCAGCCATCCTTGCTTGGCACTACTATGCCTCCTTCCAGAGCCTTTTAAAAACTAGGAAGAATTATTTTTAGACAGGGCCTTGTATGTAGCCCTGGCTGGCCTTGAACTTGTAGTCTTGCTGTCTCTACCTCCTAGAGTATTGGGATTATAGTGGTGTCCCAACATATCTGGCTAAGCCTCCTTCCCGACCTGTCTGCTTAAACTCTGAGAAAGCCTGGAGTCCATCATGTCCTGTCCTGATTTATTTTCTTTTTGTACTTTTAGAGAACAAGCTTCTGAATATTTTAAAAGTAAAATCAATAATGTAGATCCTTTCCTGTATGGAAAAGTTATGTGCAAAGACACCTATTGATCCCAAGCCATTTCTCTGTAGGGATGGCCCTCATCTCATTCACACTGCTGCGGTTATTTCAAATGATCTTTCTGAAACTACTGATGCTTAAATGACAGGTGTCTCTGGGTGTCGCTAACCCTGCCTGTCAGATAAATGTTCCTCTGTGGAGGGTGGGCGGTTGGGAGGATGGGGGGGGCATGGGGGAGGACGGCCTGGGCAGGAGGGCAGCCTGGAGGGGGGGTACAAGGGAAAGGGAGGTCTGGGGTGGGGACTGGAGGGGGAGGGGAGCCTGGGCGGGGACAGGTTTACACTAGCAAATGGAGAACTATAGAATGCTAGGGCTGTAAGGATCCATGAATATGTTGTGATTTCAATATTTTTAAGTTTATTTTATTATTTTATGTATTTGAGCATTTTCCTGCATTATTTCTGTGCAGTGTGGTGTACCTGGTGCCCTCAGCAGTCAGAAGAGGGCATCAGATGCCCCAGAACTGGAGTTGAGTGATTATGAGCCGCCTTGTGGGTGCTGGCAACCAATGGGTCCTCTGCACGAGCAGCCAGTGCTCCAAACTGCTCACTATCTGTCTAGCCCTCTATTGTGATTTCATTCTCGCTTATTATATTCCTTCTGTTTGTTTGCTTTTCAAGACAGGGTTTCTCTGTGTAGCCCTGACTGTCCTGGAACTCACTCTGTAGTCTAGGCTGGCCTCGAACTCACAGAGATCCACCTGCCTCTGCCTCCCGAGTGCTGGGATTAAAGGCATGCACCACCATCACCAGGCTTCATATGTTACTTTTTATAATCTGGGCACTATTTGTCTTTTCTGCCAAAACTGTGTGGGGTCAGAAGACAGCCTGCAGGGCTGGTCTCGTCCCCATCATGTGGATCCCAGGGCTCAAACTTGAGCGCTCAGGCTTGGCCACAGCCACCTTTGCCTGCTGAGCCATCTTTCCAGCCCTATTGTCTTTATTCTGTATTTGTTTGTTTGTTGGGAATTTCAGTGTATGCCCTGTATTTTAATCATGCTCCACCCCCCCCCCTTTCTGTCAGGCTTTTTAATCTGTTGTCATTTTGTCAGTGGCTCTGAGCATGGCTGTAACACTGTCGCCAGGAGAGGAGAATGGTTGTAGGACGTTTTCACAGAGCAGTTCATGTTTAGTCTGCAGGAGTGTTTGTGGAAACCACATTTTCTAGATTGGAAGGGCAGGTAAAACAAGCGGTCTTTTCTGAGATGACGGCAGCAGTAGACGATGAGATACAGAATGCGCGGGCTCTTACCTGCTGCCAGTTCTCGGACCCATAGACGTGGGAGGCACTGCCTAGTGTGTCCACGAAGCTGACCTGACGGTTGAGACTCCGGCAGCCGAGAGGAGAGTCGGCAGTATGCTCTACCCCACCTGGTGCCTGCCCAGAAGGATGTAGGGGGTGACTGTGGCCTTGGGTGTGGGTGTGGAATCTCTCTGTAACCATCCTTAATTAGTCAGAAGACCTGACCTTGTGCCTTTGTGGGCGTATTTTGGAGACCAGAAAACAGTTTCCAGATCTGGGGCCATTGCTCTCAAACAGCCAAAACATGAAACTCCAAACCTTGCATATTCCTGAAGTTACCTGAAAAGCTATCTCCTACCCAGTTCACACCCTCATACTGATCACCCAGTTCGCACCTCATACGGATTACCCAGTTATACCTCATATGGGTCACCCAGTTCACACCCCATACAGATCACCCAGTTCAAACCCTCATACAGATTACCCAGTTCACACCTCATACTGATTCCTCAGTTCACAACTCACATGGATTACCCAGTTCACACCCTCATAAGAATTACCCAGGTCACACCTCATACAGATCACCCAGTTCAAACCCTCATACAGATCACCCTGTTCAAACCCTCATACTGATCATCCTGATCATACCTCATACTGATTGCCCCTCTGGAACATAGCTCAGAGGATGAGAGCTGGCTCCCCAGGGCTCTCAGCACCTCCTTGTAGGGAGGGCCTGGCTGCATGGCTAGGAAACTTTTACACTTGCTCCTTTGCAGGTTGCTTTAAAATTATAGGTTGAAAGGCGGGGAGGGCAGCCGAGCAGTGGGGCACTGCCTGGCATGCACAAGGGGAGGGTTACAGCTGCAAGCACCACACAGACAAAAGTGATCTATATATTTTTTAATTTTTTTATTAGTTTGTATCGAGCTATATATTTTTTCTCTGCTCCCCTTCCTTCATCTGCCCTTTCCTATGGTCCCCATGCTCCCAATTTACTCAGGATATCTTGTCTTTTTCTACTTCCCATATAGATTAGATCCATGTATGTCTCCCTTAGGGTCCTCTTTGTTGTCTAGTTTCTCTGGGATTATGAATTGTAGGCTGGTTTTTCTTTGCTTTATGTCTAAAAGCCACTTATGAGTGAGTACATATGATATTTGTCTTTCTGGGTCTGGGATATCTCACTCAATATGATGTTTTCTAGATCCATCCATTTGCTCACAAATTAAGTGATCTGTATTTTAAGTTCCTTCCGTATTCCAGGAGTTGGTTGCGACGAGGCAAGCTAGTATTTCCATGAGGTGAAGAGAGGCTTAGGTAGGGTTCTGAAGATGTGAGGTGCAAAAGGAGGGTCTCCCCAAATCCAGAGTGAAATGCACTCTAGGAGGAGGTCTTCTGGATACCGGATTTCACACGAGTGGGGTGTAGGTGTTGAGAGGCTTTCCCAGCTCCTCCTCCCCAGGCTGTAGGAGGGACCAGCTGTGCCTGCCTCCTAGCGCTGTGTTAGCCCCCTGCCTGCCTGCCTTCTCCTCCTCCCTCTCTTTTGATAGTCTCATGTAGTCCAGAATGATTTTGGAGTCCTCATCCTGTTGCCTCTTACTACCCACGTCCTGGGATTACAGGCATGTGCCACCATGCCCCGTTTAGTGGTTCCTTTTCAGCAGTGGTAGCTTGCTGTTTGCCCCTTGCACAGAATGTCCTGGGGGAGGTGATGGGGTGATGTGAACAAGATACCCTGGCCCTTGGCTGGGGAGTCTGAGGCCGGAACAGGCTGCTGAGGACCTCAGGGCTGGTGGTCACCCCTCAGGCTGCAGGGATGGAAGAGGCGATGGGAGAGGAGAGGTCTCAGGCTGGAGCAGGCCAATGCTTAGAGGAGTTTGTTCAGAGGGGGAGCCTCTCTCAGGCTGCTTCCCCAGCAGTGCCCTCAGAGAGCTCAGGTCCCTGGACCAGTTCACACCCCTGTTCCATGGACACATGGCGTGCTGACCCTGCTCCTGCTGCTTCCCAGCTCCGGCTTCTCCTGGGGCAGCCAGGAGAGTCTCCCCAGCATTTGTCACACCAATTGTATTACTGAGGGCGCTCGAAGAGCTGGGGACATGGGAACAACGTTAAGTGAACCCACAGACACTGACCTTTTTATTGTTAGTTCTGTGCGTTCAGTCAAGTCCAGTTCCCTAGTTGAAATGAATATACCCTCCCTTTTATTTCTCAAAGCTTGTCTTCTTGGGATTGGGGGAGTGGAGTTTGGATAAACCCAGGAAGAACTAGTTTTCTGTGCAAATCACAGTGAAAGTCCTTCCGTTTCTTCCCGCAGGGGAAAGTGGAAGTAGAAGCTGGGAAAGAAGGTATGAAGTTTGAAGCAAGTGCTTTTTCATACTATGGTGTAATGGCCCTCACAGCCTCTCCAGGTGAGTGCTTCCAGCCTCGTAGCACAGGACCACTGCAGGAAGATGCAGCCCTCCTCCCTCAGCCCTCCTCCCGTCAGTCCTCCTCCCTCAGTCCTCCTCCCCCCTCAGTGCCAGTCCTCCTCCCTCAGTGCCAGTCCTCCCGTCAGTCCTCCTCCGTCAGTCCTCCTCCGTCAGTCCTCCTCCGTCAATCCTCCTCCCTCAGTCCTCCTCCCTCAGTCCTCCTCCCTTAGTCCTCCTCCCTCAGTCCTCCTCCCTCAGTGCCAGTCCTCCTCCCTCAGTCCTCCTCCCTCAGTGCCAGTCCTCCCGTCAGTCCTTCCCGTGCCCTGCTGGCCTGTGTGCTTTACTTTAACTTGTCATCGATGAGTCCTAGAGACAGAGCTGTGCACGTAGATACCTCCACAGGTTTCCATGCACCGAACACAGCTGTGCAGACCTAAGGCCCTCTCACCCTTCTGCGTCACTGCCCCCCTCTTTGAACTGTGTGAATGGAACTACAGGGAATGGAGCGGGTTGAGTTTGTCTCCCCCTCCAGTGCTGTGGTCATGTTCTGTGTGGTGCTTCCCCCTGTGTGAACACAGAGCACCGCACTTGCCTGACAAAGGAAGGAAGGTTTATATCAGGTGATGGTTGTGCGATCATCATGGCAGAGAGACTATGGTGTCAGGAGCATGAGGCAGCTGTGACATTGGGTCCACAGGAAGCAGGAAGGATGGATGCTGTGCCCAGCTCACCCTCTTGTTCAGTCTAGGACATCAGGCTATGGACGACATCCCCACACTTGAGTGTGTGCCTTCTCCATTAGCTACATCTCCCTGGAAGTGCGTTTCCATGGTGACTGTAAACCCTTAGACCAGCCATGGAGGGCTGTTTCCTGTGAAAACTGTCTTCTAGTGGGTGTGCACACTGGGGTCTGTTGAGTTGCTGCTCAGCTTCAGCACTTCCTACAAGTTCAGTATTTCCCAGGGCATCCCCTGTGGGAAGTGCTCCCTATCTCCACCCACCCAGAGCATCCCCTGCCCGTCATGGGAAGTGCTCCCTATCTCCACCCACCCAGAGTGGCCCCTGCGCAGCTTAAGAAGCGTCCACCCTGAGTCTAAGTTGTATATCATAGCTATTCTGGGGGTTTTCTGCTGCATCTTCCTGAGGATGAAGGAGTTTGCTGGTGTTTGTGGTGTGGGGGTATGCCATGGAAAATTAAGTTCTCTGAGATTCTAGGGTGCCTGAAAGGTGACCTGTCCCAGCAGGAGTATCCTCATCCAACTCTGCTGTGCTCCCAAGCCCTCTGGCTCTAGCTACACCACTGCTTGCCTTCTCTGGCCTGGAGCAGGTCAAGCAGGTAAACAGAGGTGCTGGAGTGCCACCTTGTGGCCAAAATATAAAAGAGCATCCTGTACAAGGAAACCTTCACAAAGTCCAAAGCTAACCTTAACCCACCTTACCGGGAGACTGTCAGACTGAAAAACTCCTAACAGGAATGGAGACCTTCAGGGAAGTTTGTCTCTGTGACACTGGTCTTCCCTGTTGTCCCACTCGGCAGTGTGGCAGACTTAAGGATGTCACCATCAGAAAGAAAGCCACTAACATCCAGATCCCTTGCTGTCCTGTGCGGGTTTCGCAGTCCTAAGGGCACGCTGTCCCCACATGTGAATGTGGGTCTGTGTGAACATTCCTACTAAGTCTTTGTTGTGAACTTGGGGTCTCCATTTCCACCGCTTGGTGACCTGGAGAGGGGTTTGTGACTGGGCGTAGAAAGACCCGGGTCACGGCCTGAGATGCAGGCTGTTTGACATTGAGAAAAGACCTTTGGTGCCCTGTAGCTGGGTGGGTTACTATGTATACAGTGTGCTGTGACCCTTAAAATGGATTTCAGAAGGTGGGGGCAGGAAGAGCGCTACAAGTTCCAGGTCAGTGTTGTCTGCTTTGTGAGCTTTAAGCCGTAGGTCTACATAGCAAGACCTTGTCTCAAATGTAAAAACAACAGCACAGCCACAAGAGGAGATGCTACGTCACAGAAAGGCATTTGCGCTGAGACTGCTCTGCGACTACGTGCCTCCAGTTAGCCCAGGTTCGCGACCCACACCTACAAGGTGGCCCTGGAAAGAAATGAGAGCAAAACATCTTTGCTGATTTCTGGAGAGTTAAGCCTAAACCCTAGCCCAGCGCATATTGAACCATAGTGTAAGGGAAATCCCACTCAGAAAATGCCAGCAAAAAGGCCAGGGTGATGGCCATACCTCTAGTGCCAGCACGTGGGAAAGGCTGTGGGAGGACCACGAGGTTTAGGCTAGTCTGAGCTATGCAGTGAGTTTGGGGCCAGCCCCAAACTACAGGATACCTTTCAAACTAACCAAAACAGTAACAACAAAAGCCAGCAAAGAGCTCACGCCTCACCAGAAAGCCCTCACCGTTCATGTCAAAGGCCTCTGTGTACTGAACCTCATGACTGGGCTCTGGGGCAGTGTATCCATTGAGATGTGCAGTTAGCACAGGTTTGCCACATTAAGGCCTGCCTGGGTCTGATCAAGTTGTGGCCCTGGTGAAATGGCACCAGCAGGAAAAGGCCATTGCCCCCAAGACTCGGGACTTGAGTTTAATTCCAAGATTCACATGGTGGGAAGAAAATCTGGCTCCTCCAAGTTTCCTCTGTTCTCCACATATGTTCCATGTGCAGTGAGCACAGGTACACGTGTGTGCACATGTACACAAATAAGAGTGTTCGTAAGCTGTTCACCAGGGAAACAGAAGCAGAAAGATTCTCTTAAGTTTGAGCCCAGTCTGGCCTACACAGCAAGTTCTAGGCCAGCCAGGGCTATATGTTGAGACCTTTTCTCAAAACAAAGAAATGCAAAGAAGCCCGTGATCTGGGCAAAGCCTGCAGCCCTTGGTTCTCAGGACTGTGGAAAGGTATGTCCTACCCACCATGGCCTGCCCTCCGGGGTTTCCCTGTGGTGGGGCTGGTCTCCCGACTGAGTGAACAGCTAGGAGCCTCACCTCTGCCTGCCGTTCTCGGGCAGTCGGGGTGTGGCACCCTATACATTTGCCTCTGCTTTGAAATCTGAAATCATTCCAAGCAATTCAAACACCAGGCCAAAATTCTGAAACCAAGAATAGCAGGGAGTTTGGTAACGGAGGGCTCACAAGGTTCCCTGGTGAATGCTGGGTGAGGCTTCGGCCTCTTCTTAGGGCCTGCACCAGCTGCTCCTGCGGATGGATGTGGCTAGTGTGACTTGGGCCTTGAGAAAGGTTTGTCTGGGGGCTGTGGACCCCATTTGGGTATTGGGGGTTTCAGAACTTTTCAGAAGAGAGCATACTCCCTGCCTTGCTCTTCCTGGAAGTCACTTGTGTCTCTTCCATTGCACAAGACCACAGGGCTCCGGCACTTCCGGGTGGGATGCTCATGTCAGCGAGATGCTGTCCACTCCTGTCCCTTGGATGTGAAGCCCCCCCCCCTTCTGACTTCAATGCCATCTCACCGTGTTTTTCTCCATTTTCAGTTCCTTTGTCCCTGTCCCGAACCTTTGCTGTCAGCAGGACAGAAGTGTTAGCAGCAGGCTCTCCAGGTAATTCTGCATGCTTCCTCTTCGTAACCCCGGGAAAGCCTGGCCACCAGGGCCACACACTCTATTTCCACAACACTTCCTGTTTCCTGCAGCCTGAAAAACGCTCAGGTTGCTAAGAGGGGGCTGTCCAGGAAAACATTAGCCACAGAGGGCTGGAAAGGAACTCTGGCCTAGGAACCGTGGTGACCGGGGCACAGAGAGTCACTATGGTGACCGTCCAGTGCTTTCTGCCCATCCAGTCTGCACTGGCCTGGAACACTCAGATCTGCCCCAAGTCTTAATCCATCTTCAGCATGTTGTGAGAAGTGGAGTCTGTAGAGACCTGAGGGCCTCAGCCCCCAACCCTCAGCTGCTCCCAGGGAATCCATTTGGACAAAATCTTGGGGGAGTATGGGTTTTCTTGGCGAGTGAGAAAAAGACTGCACGCATCCTGCCTTAGGGCACTTGTTCCTGAGCTGACTGGTGTATTTCTGCCTTCCTCAGACAGAGGGCCCTGCCGCTCAGGGCCGGCCTTTGCTTTAGACTTAGTGTCCTGCGCATTCCTGACCAGCTGCAGATTATCTCCCCGCAGGAGAGCGTGGCCGTGCCCAATATGCCCAACGTGCCCATCAACTGCAAAGAAAGGCTTTAATCTTTCTTTAATTAAAATTGCTTAGCCTTAACTGAGTTTATGGTGAACACCTGTAATCCCAGCATGCAGGAGTCTGAGGCAGTGGAATCAAGGGTTTAAGACCAGCGTGAGCTATGTGTATAGGGAAACCCTGTCTCAAAGAAAGGAAGATTGTTGAGCATCTATGTTGGGAAATGCAACTTTTCTGTGTTGCTTTTCCCCCATATAGCTTGTAATTTTCAATCTGACTGATGAACTTTATATACGGTCTAACTTCAGCCAAACTCTGGAGTACTCTAGGAGGCGACACTTACAGAGGAAATTCATTAAGATTCCCTTTGGTCTGCCATCAGCCAGTGTGGTGGCCCACACGTCTAATCTGTATTTAGAAGGCCGAAGTGCGCAGATTGTCACACGGTCAAGGCCAGCCTGGGCTACATAGTGAGTTTGAGGTCATAATGGCCACGGAGTAAAACCCTGACTTCAATGATAGCTCAGTTACTGAAATGCTTGCTGCAGGAGGAGGAAGACCTGATTTCCAGTTCCCAAAGCCAGCCTAGTAGTGTGTGTTTAATCCCAACACTGGGGAGGTGGAGACTGCAGGACCCCTGGGCTCACTGGCCAGCCAGCTGAGCCAAATTAGTGGGCCCCAGGTCCCAGAGAATGACACTGCCTTAAAAAAAAGTGGACACCCAAGGTTGACCTCTGGCTTCCACACACATACACACATCATACACGAACACATCCTCTCTCTCTCTGCTCTTAGGGTCTGGCATAAGATATTCCCAGTGCCATCTGACTCAAACCAGCCAGCACACACATGCATTTATACTTTTATTTTATTTGTTCGTGTTTACTGTTTGTTTAAAAAAGTCATAGGGATACTGAAGTTGATGACTCTTGGCCAAAGCCCATTAAAATTTGAATTTTACTTTCTCTGTAGAATTTGAGATTTCTTTGCTATGCCTGCTCCAACTGGTCAGGTATAAACAGCCCTGCCTTGAAGGTCCTGGCCCACAGGCCTGCTGACATTACAGTAACAGCTACTTCATGAGTGGGTGCTAGACTAAGCCAATGACATCTAGCCCCTTCCACAAGGTCCCTATGGCTGCAATGTCACTATTGTGTCTGCTAATTTCCTGCCGAAACAAAGGATTTCTGGGTAGGCTGGATAAAATAAACCAAATCAAAAAGCCAGAAAAACAAAACACAACAATGCTGAAAGGCTTAGCCATTTATTTGGTTTTCAGATAGGGTCTTAGCCTTGGCTGTCCTGGAACTCACTATGCAGACCAGGAAGACCACAAACTCACAGGAATCCCCCTGCCTCTGCGTCCTGAGTACTGGGACTAAAGGGGACACAGCCATGCCTAGCTTGACAGGGTCTTGATTTTGGTTTTGTTTCGTTTTTGAGATGAGGTCTCTTGTAGCCCAGGCTGGCCTCAGACTTGAAGCTGCTGTAGCACTGAGGACGACCTTAAATTCAGGCCTCCCTGACTTCACCTCCCCAGCACACCATTGTGGTTAGGTGCCCCCATGCCCAGGTAAGACCAAAGTCTCATCTTTAACGCTGTCATGAAATCTGAACATGTAAATTTGACAGCAAAACATGAACTTGGGTGGGGCGGCTGCTCCTGCCCCTCTTTGTGGGTTCGGGTCCTCTGTGTCTCACTGTAGCTAAGTTTGAGTTGCCGGGCTGGTGCAGGGCTGCAGAACAGGGTTTATGTTATGGAATGCACATATGGACCAATCTACAGCTGGAAATGTAGCCCTTTATTTATCTCAAGGATTTCGGCTAAAGGATGTGAATATGTGCTATTCATTTTTTTTTTTTAAGCTAAGCAAGCTCATTGGAGGTGACATTGTGGCCCAGAAAGACATTCGTTTCAATAGATTAAAGCCTAATATGAACTTTAGGGGAAAACAATAAAACCAGCATTTTCCCTTATTTGAAAGGTAAAGTTACCCATGAGGGTGGGTGACTATAAATTAGTTGTTAGAATTCTTAATTCTGTTAGGGCTCCCAATCTCATCCTATCCACTAGGCTTCTGTTCAGAACCAGCATCCACGTGAACGCCTGGTTCTGGAACAGAGCAGTTAAGGCGTTTGATACCCTGCCTATACAGCCCCAGTGTTAGAGTTAGGCTTAGAAACGGGGGGGGAAGAGAGAGGGTTTAATTTACCAACAAACATCACTGCCTCAGTCAAGAACTACCAAGCAAAGATTGAGGACAAGAAATAGAAACTGCACTTGCTGCTCACACCCACAGCATGTGCAAAGGCGGCTGGTGATGCTAACTCGGAGAGCCTGTGCTTCTAGCCTGTCCCCACTAAGTGTGTGCAGAATGCTGCATCTTCTCCATTTGTGCATTCTGGGCCACGCCCATCTGAGTGACTCGCATGGTCCTCATCTGGGCATCATCTGATCATGTGACCGCCATGATGACAGGAAGACCATGGGGCAGCGGTGAAGCTGCGTGGCTCCCATGCATTACAGAACGAGTGCTTTGAAGCCACGAGACGGAGAAACCACAGATTCTGCTCTGAGTCAAAGTTGAGCAGACATCCTTGATGGACATTGGTGGCATTGACCGCTGCGGGTCAGAGTTTACACATATGGTCCAAGGTGACTGCCCACACTTAGTGTAACATTCCTCTCTGTGGACTTGGAGAGGTGCTGCTCTTGCAGAGGACCTGAGGACAGCAGCCTCCACCTGGAAATGTGAGGGCACTCGCAGAAATGCCACTCCGCACCCAAGCTGGCGTCAGTGTTTCATGAGCATTGGAAAGTCTCACGGGCATTTTGACTGCATGTGCTTCAGTTTCTCAGCAAAAGTGGCTTAGAAAACCCAGACACAGATCTCCTGCAGCGTGGTCACGTGCACCCGCTGGAGCCAGGGCAGTCATTAGCCCGCATCTCGGTGCAGCTCCGCGCTGGAGGGAGGCGTCATCCCCATGCCAGCACCAGAAAAGCAGCCACCACCTCTTAAGCGACCTCGCTTTTGTATTTTCCTCTTTAGTTTTCTAACCAGCTTTGCTGCCATTACTCCTGCTTGACAAAGCTGGAAGAGCAAAGTTGCATCCAGGAACCTGGCATCACAGTCCCTAAAGCTTTCATGTGGGGCCCAGGAGATTGCTCAGTGAGTACAGGCCTCTGATGCGGAGCCCGATACCTGGGACCACCTGTGAAAGGAGCTAACTGCCCCTCACAACCTGTCCTCTGGCACACATGCCCCCCAAATAAGAGGGATTTTGCCACTTTTTTTTTTTTTTTAAAACTCAATTGTCCTCTGGGTGGAAGCGAGGGGTCACAGATTTTCCTGGCCCGGAAACTTAAGCAGCTTTTCTGACAGGCCATCCCAGCAGGCCTGGCTTCGGCTCATTTCAAAGATAGCACATGAAATTCCGGTTCTCAGCCAGGTGGTGGTGGCACACGCCTTTAATTTCAGCACTTGGGAGGCAAAGGTAGACAGATCTCCGAGGTTGAGGCCAGTCTTTCTATAGAGTGAGTTCTAGGATAGCCAGGACTACATAGAAAAATCCTGGCTCAAAAAAGCAAAAGGACATAAGAGGAAATTCTGGTTCTGGCATAATAAGTGTGGCATGTTTTATCCAGTTCCATTTCGCTCACTGGTCAGCCACAGGGACGTGAACATAGGGCACCCATGACAGAACCTGTGTCATCACAGACCACTCTCAGGAGTGACATCCATCGGAGTGACGTCATCTTCCAGGCAGCAGTGGGCCTGGGTGCTGGGTCGGGCTCACTCACAAGAAATCTGAGGGTTTGATCTGGCCGACTGACTGACTGACTGCCCCGACTCTGGAAAATCCAATGTATACAAGTAGCATCCGCCAGAATTCAGATGGTTGCTCTGTTGGGAAGCCGCACTGGAAGGCCTCACCCAGAGCTTCCAGTGTGCACACCGCTAGAAAAGGGCTCTGTGAAATTCTTAGGATTAAAAGCATCAGTGACTTGAGCTGACTCCACTATCCCTATCAAGCCGCAACAGGAGGACAGTGCTTTTAGCAAGAGTAGCTAGGACTAAAACGACTCCATTTTGGAGGCAAACACACCCTCATCGAGCGGGCAAGGCTCCTGCCTGTGCTTCTGTGTCACTTTAGAACACTTTGTGTACTCCGGGTCCTGCCTTCCCACTCAGATCTTGAAATAGTTCGAGGCTCCCCAGACCCCTGCTTACGTCAGGAGTATTGCCTGGAGGACAAACTTCCAGCAGCTTCTTGAGAAAACAGGCGGCTTCCATCAAAGAGCAGCAAACAACCCCAGAAAACCAGTTAAATCTCTCCCCGCTGCCTCCACCCCGCTGCGGAATGGCTGAGCTGTCACCGGACTCCAACTCTCCCTCTTACAATAATTTTATGATAACTTTAAAAATGATTAAACTTTCCTGGCAGCCTTTTGTGAGCAAAAGTTGAGTCTGTTGGAATCGTAGGCAGATACAGTTTCTCAAGGCCTGCTGCCTTCATATCGAGGAGGCTGCAGCCAATGTCGCTGGCCTTGTGGTGAGAGATTATTGCTGTTGCTCTTAAGATTCTAATATTGTCTGTGAGAGCTGATCAGCGGCATTAAAGTCATAAGGTACGTTCCCAGACAATCGTGTCGGCCCGTGGCTCTGTAGAGTGGGTACAGAGAAGTGGTCTCTCCAGACTGTGGTCATGCTGGCGGGCAAAGCAAGGGATCCACCACGCACACATGCACAAACACAGTGCAGGCATATGCTCACACACACACACAGAGAGAGGGAGAGGGAGAGAGAGGGAGGGAGGGAGAGAGGGAGAGAGAGAGAGAGAAAAAACAGTGCTCACTGACAGGAAGCCCGGAAGAATTCAGGCCCCGCCCTCTTCCTGGAGGTCTGGCCAAGAGGCAGTAAGCCTGCCCGGTACCTGCCTTTAAAGCCTTGACTCCTTTGTACTGTTGGGGCATCCATCTTCGGCCTTCTAGTCGAGGAGTCGCCATGATTCTCCCGCTCCAGACAGATGCAGGTTAAGATCCTCCCTGGTAAGCCAGCTCGTGGGCTACACAGAATATTAGAAATGGGTTAGAACAATATGTAAGAGCTAGCCAATAAGAAGCTGGAACTAGCCGGGCCAGGCAGTGTTTGAAAGAAAAAAAAAAATAAAAAAATAAAGCCTTGACTCCATAGAAGTAAACACTGTTTGAAAAGATGTGTGGGAACATGTGGTTCGTTCTGAAACCTGGAGGGAGAGCCACAGAATTCCCTGTTCAAAAGAACGTTAAGGGCTGTCATGACAGGTGATGTCGTGTGGAAAGGCCTGATCCTGAGGCAGAGGCACGGTGGTGAGGTCTGGGAAAAGCTAACGTCAGTGTGGCACATTTATCTGGTGCTCGCTGGATGTCACGCTGTGCTCAGTACTTTCTGTCTTCCTTTGAACCCTCAGAGCACACGAGCTGGGAACACTGTACTCATCTTACAGATAAGGATGCTGGAGCTCAGCTGATTTGGGTTATGGGTTCAAAGTTCTCCTCTGTTAAATCTAAAGCACTGGTTATTAATGTGTGCATTCTCTCAGGAGGTGGTAGGAGGGGCTGCTGAGTCAAACCAGTGGGCAGGCGGCCCTGTGAGCTGGGACAGGACATGACGGTAGACATGGAGCCTGTGGGCAGGCGGCCCTGTGAGCTATGACAGGACAGGACAGTAGACATGGAGCCTGTGGCCTGGGTTGCTGGTACTGACGTTTTCTGCCCTGAGGGGATGTTTATCAAGTGGGGTGGGTGGTGGGTGGGCTGAGGGTTTGGTACCACTGTGAGGGGAGGAAAGATTCAGGGGAACCAGTGCTTCAGCTTCTTCAGGGCGGCTTCAGGTTGCTCAGTGGCACTGCGCACGCCTGTCATTTGAGATAGAACTAGATGGTGACCATGGTGATAGACTTTTCCACAGCTGACAGGTGGCACTAGCCACAGGCTGCCTCTTCCGTGGGGGCATCAGTTAAGGACATTGGAAGATGGGTGAGTGGGTCCCCTCTATCCTGGGGCATTCTGCAATTCAGAGCCCATTTAATGTGGGCAGCTGTGGATTGCGTTGGGTGGGCTACTCAGTCTAGGGGTTAGTAACCCACCCGCAATCAAGTTATTCCAGGGTCTCGGAGGGGCGCTACCTGGAAGGGAGTGAGCTAAGACAGAAGAAGGAGACCAAGCAACTTTGTCAAGGCCTCCGTTTATTAGGGACGGGTTACAGTTTATATATGGTAAGGGATGAGGGGCAGGGTACGGGATCTCGCAGGCCGCGTGGTTCCGGTCACGTAGCTCGGTTACATTCAGACAGACAGGCCAGAAGTCACAAGTGGCCACACCTGGTTCCCTGGATAGCTGGAATGTGAGGCGGGTTGTTAAGATTAGCAGTTAATTGAGTGAGGGGCAGGTTTTGTCAATAGAACATAACTATGGGTGTGAGGTTCTCTGCAGACTCCCTAGAGTGATGGTTTCTGTAATGATTGTTAGGGGGGAAATGGCTCCTGACAGGCAGCCAGCTGTATCTGCAATAGTTTGTTAAGCGTCCTCGGTGCAGAAGTAAGGTTTGTTTGTTTGTTTGTTTAGGTGTTTTGAGACTGGGTTTCTCTTGTAGCCCTGGCTGTCCAGGAACTTCCTCTCTAGGCAAGGTTGGTCTCAAACTCAGAGATCCACCCACCTCTGTCCACCACGTCCAGCCCAGTTTTAGCTTTAACACTGTTTATGGCTAAAGCTACATGGATGGGGGCTGGAGAGGTAGCTCAGTGGTTAAGGACACTTGTTGCTTTTCCAAATGACCCACATGGCAGCTAAAAATGTTTACTCCAGTTCTAAGGGTCCCACCCCCCTCTTCTGGCCTCCATGGGCACTGCGTGCAGTGCATAGAACATTTACAATAAAAAGCCGTGAAGAACGTTCTCTGACAGCGAGAACACAGCTTCTCCTGCCCTGAACACTTGTTCCAGGGAGCTCACTGCCAGACATTGTAAACAGACCTGTCCCTGGTTTCATCGCCTTGTGTTCTTGAATTCCCAAGGCACCTTGAGCTGCTGATGGATAAGTGGCAAAGGCAGAGGGACTGTGATAATTAGTTTTGGCTTCTAGAAAAATAATAGAAGAGTCTTTTCTGCTCCTCATTAGTCTCAGGCAGCTTCCGTGTCCCGGGCCTTTTCCCAGCCCCACCTGTGTATCTAGTGATGTTCCCTGTGAGGCGGGCCCCCAGCTCCTGAGCCTTTGTCTGCCTTTCTACCCAGACCTGTCTGTCACAGCTGAGACCCACGTAGCCTGCGGGAGGGACATGGTATGTGCTTTTGCAATTGCTTTTTATTTGGAGTAATCACTCCCCATTGGCTATATCTACTGTGCTTTAAAAGCTGAATCTTCTCCCTCTTCTAGGTGAAAATAAGTCACCTCCTCGCCCCTGTGGCCTGAACCACTCAGACTCTCTCAGCCGAAGTGACCGGATTGACGCCATGACACCAACCTTGGGGAGCAGCAACAACCAGCTCAATTCTTCATTCCTCCAGGTCTACATCCCTGATTACTCAGTACGAGCCCTCTCTGACCTGCAGTTTGTCAAGGTGAGCGGGGGAGGACGCGCTGGCTGGATCCCGCAGGTATCAGCCACATCCCTGACAGCTGGTCCAGTCCCCACAGGCTTCCCCTGGGCTGTCAGAGCACCCTGCCGCCTCTTAGGGCCCATACTGACCTCAGTTCCATGCCATGAGCAGCCATGAGCAGTGAAAGCAAACACGGTCTTGGCAGGGGGCAGGAATGGAGATGAGGGAAGAGCCATTCTCAGAGCTCTCAGAGCCTGCAGCTGGTGGCTCTGGCTGACCCGAAAAGCGCTCTGAGGTTGCTCCGGAGACAGGTTCTTCTTAGTCTGAAATAGACACCTACTGGAGCCTGCGATGACCTTAGCTGATGGACACTGACCCCACTTTTCTCAGATCTGAGCGTTAAGAGGCAAGATGTAGGAAGGGTCCCAGTGGTGAGAACCGACTTGACCTTCAGCACTGCCCACTTCCTACTCAAGGACGGTTCTCTCCGAGAGCTCTGGGGTGCTGAGATTGTGATGCCGTGTAGGAGACAAGAGAAGCTAAAAATAAGTGTTGTCTCAGTGTGTTTTCTGTGTCCTCTTCTGGTCCCAGATCTCCAGACAGCAATACCAAAATGCCTTGATGGCATCCCGGATGGACAAAACTCCTCAGTCTTCAGACAGTGAAAACACTAGAATTGAATTGACTCTTACGGAGCTGCATGACGGGCTGCCGGACGAGACGGCCAACTTGCTCAACGAACAGAACTGTGTATCGCACAACAAGACCAACCACAGCCTGCACAGTGACGGCGCCATCTAGAGCCCCTCGGTCCCCTCGTCCGGCCTCCTGGCCTGTCTGACCATGACTTCCACTAGTGTGAGCTTGTCTGCCATGCTGCGTCCTACAGCAATGAGACCAAAGACTTTGCCCCTTTCCCTGGAGGCCGCAGAGGACGGCAAGCTGCGGAGGACAGCATGGGTGGGGATGGAAACTAGACACGTGACATCGACAGCTGGGGCATGGCTTTCAAGAATTCGGAGACAAACTTCTGCCCAGATAGAATCATGTTTATTTTTTCAGTACTTTTACCATTTCCTCCCTTCCTCAATGTGCATGAATTTAAAAATTATTTCGTTTATTTTTTTTCAAGAGATCATGTTTTTTGTTTTTCAAGTGTCTTTTGCAGAGTTTTAAGTTGGTCTGTCTGAGCTAGCTCTGCTGTGATCCCATGATGTGACCCTAACAGGATGGACTTGCCCCTTGAGTGGCCTTCCTTGGCCGTCCCGGGAAGGCTATCTTTCCTCTGTGTGCCGGTGGGTGTCGCTGTCGAACTTGATGGATGAATGAAGAAGACCATGTCACTGAGGAACGTGCCAAGTCTGTCGTCACTGTGGGTGTTGGCAGAAGCTGCAGACACCCCTGTGCATATAGTATTTCGAAAATATGTTCAATTGTGTCCCTTTCCCTTAGGAAGGGCTAACGTTTGCTTGGGAATGTGATTTTGCTCCCACCTTAAGGAATTTTTATCACCAAAATGAATGTTAATGAATTTTAAACCCATGGTTTATCATTGGCAAGAGGCAAGTTGACTTCATCCACAGTCCTGTAACCTGGGGTGGTCTGGGGCATCAGCTGAGCCACCCCCCACCCTCTCGGCCCTCACTCTTGCTAATCCAAGCCGCTGCTACAGGTGCCAAATGGAAACTTTCCATGGGGCTTGAACATGTGGCGTGGCAGCTACATTAGTTGCCTCTTTCCCATGGGGATCTATGTGTTATCGGAATGAGGCGGGGGTGGGGTGGGTGTGTACTGTTTTTAATAGAAGGACAAGGGATTACCTGTCTCACCCCTTCTTCCATAGAGCCAAGTGCCCCCTCCATCTTGTCCCTGGACTGTAGGGCCCAGAAGTGGCAGTGGTCCAGCAAAGATGCCTCTTGCTTCAGAGGTGGTCAATGCCAGAGAGGCTGTCATACAGCCAGAGTCAGTTGGACCCCAAACAGATCCAGAAACCAAATGTGTGTTGTGAGCGTTTCATGTATGTCCCTGTCTTATTTTAATACCAAATTTACCATGTGTTGTGAAATTCCCGCCAGCGGGTACTGTTTGGGTGACTGATTCCTTAACTAGTTTGTTTGTTTTAAGTGGTTACCTGTGTTTGCTGGCGATACTCATACACTGAAATGACCTCCTGACCGTAATGTTCAATAGGATTCTCACTACCCAGGTCACAGCTGGAGAAGAGAGCCTTCCTGTGCCCAGGTTTCCTACCCAAGGAACCCTAAAGCTCACCATCAGCCTCCTCCCTCAGGTAGGAGGTCTGCTAACCCCACGCTGGGCTCTGGGAGGGTAATGTGTTGGGTTAATCTCCTTGTAAATAGTTGGTGAGTCTAGAAAACGTGTGTGTGCGCGCGCGCGTGCGTATGTACTGGGAATGGCACCCATGGCCTTGGGCGTGCTTGGCAAGTACTCCTGACAGCTACACCTGGGTCCGGGCCTCTGGTGCCATGTCCACTGACAGTGTTACCCCTGGGTAGAGGTAGTAGTGGTCCTGAAGTGTTCTCAAAGGGTGCCGTGCCTGACAGAGAAGGGCTAGCTTCACTTGGTGGAGGGTCATTGGAGTGACCTCCAAAGGATCTGAGTGATACCTAACCTGCCACTTTGGGCAAGGGTTCCTACCATATGGAACCCCATACTATGGCACCCCCCTTTTCAAACACATCCAAGTGAAAAAAAATCCATTTACTAAGGACCATAATGTGCACAGATGCAAACTCTCTCAGTTTGGCCAGGATCAGGGCCCTTCCCTGAGGCCTGGGGAGCCAGGAGCCCAGCACACCTGCCTCAGACAAGCCTTGCTGCTGGAGGGGCCTCTGCGAGAGAAGCATGCTTGGTCCCTTTTCAGAGCGGCACTGTTTGTGGACCCTAGAGACGTGGGAGTCTAGGGAGCTGAGAGAGCGTAGTCACCACCTAGTGTGGCAGCTAACTGTAGAGTTCTCTTAGGAGCTGGGGAGCGTGGTTCTCAGAGACCGAGATTGTAGCCACCAGCTTTGTGTTCACTTCTCATTAATGATCTCATTACCTTGGAGTAGTTACTCAGTTCTCATGACCAGGAATTCAGAATAGTTCCTCCCTGGTTCCCGGGTGCACAAGGTAAACTGGCTGTAGTTTCCGCTGCTCTGCGGAGAGTTCCCGACCTTCAAACGGCTTGTGCTGAGTGATCAATTCTTCAGGTCCCCTCTGGGGCAGCAAAACTGTCTCGGCTAGGATGGGCATATGCATACCATCTGTGGCTGACCCCACGGCTTCCCATCAAGACAGATGGGCACGTAATGGATTGGCCATGTACAGGGTTCCTTCCTTGTAGCTCTAGCTGTAGTCCCCCAGGCTGCTGTGTGTGCAAACGTGGAGGTAAGGCAGGCAGGCAGGCCAGACTCGGGTTGCTATGGGCCTACCCCCTGCTCCATGATGGTATCTGGAGCCACCGCTGCCAGCCAGAGGACAGGGCAGCCTGTGTCAGATGTGGCCAGGATGGCCAGTTTAAGTGAGGGTCCTTCACTCTGCTGCCCTCTGTCAGGCAAGTCCAGACCCTGGTAATTAAACTCTTGAGAAAACAGAATCCTGAAATTTATACATGAGTATTGGGGTGCTAGTCAACTAGATTAAACTGGTTCTTAATTTGAAGGTGCCTCGTCTTTCATACTCTGTATGGGCGTGACTGACCTCACGTGAAGGGAGCTGAGCCTCACACCACTTTCTCATGTCAGCCCAAGAAACGTGTGCAGCGTTCAGTGCAGAACTTCACACTGATAGGAACACTAACTGTGAAGTCTCCTTGCCATCCCCAGCTGTACGGATAAGGACTAGCTTTTCCAAGTCTAGGAAAACATGGCAGGTCCAAACGCATTTCCCTTAAGAAATGGAGCAACAGGATTTTAAGTTAAGCAGGGACCGTGAACTTCTGCCCTCAAGTTATTTGGGTTAAGGAGCAAACCAAGTAGGTGCTGAGTGACTGAGCCTGTGTCCTGGCTAGTTACAAACTCATGCAAGCACCTCTGTCCTCCTCTGAAGGCTACGAGGGATCTGTGCCGTCACCGTGCCTGGACCCAGGGGATGTCATCTCCCAAGGGTGAACCCAGGCAGGTTAACTGGTACAGCGCACACACCTTGTTCCCGTGAGGGCTGACGACTTACAACTCCCTAGTGGCCTGGCAAAACTCCCCTCCTTGCTGCCCGAGATGTGCTTTTCCTGTGAGGGGCTGATGGCTGTTTTAGGCATGAGGTACCAGTGTGTCCTTTCTTACGGGAGAATCAGGCTCCTTCCTAGGCTGTTTGCTTCCATTCTGGGCCTAGGATTGTGGTGCTTCTGTGCAGTACTACTGGGTAAGTTGTAGGCTAGCCCAGAATTGGGAGGAATTTAGAGACGTATAGGGAAGTGACTGGGGGGCAGGGGATGTGGAAGTTTTTCCATACAGATTTATCAATGAGCAACCTACTTAGTGGGTTTTTATACCTCAGGGCCATTTACTTGTGTCTGAGTGGCTGATGGGGAAGATGAACTCACTGAGGTTCACTTGCTTCCACCTGAGGGATGAGTAGTGCTTCAAGGCTGAGCCTGCGTCAGCTGGTTCCTCTTCCTGGAATCAATGCTAACTTCCTGGCTTTCCTTCTGGGGAGTCCTGTTGCCCACCAGTCAGGAAGGGGCAGTCTTTCACAGCAGCTAGTGAGCAGCAGGGCATCTGTTTCTTGGTTCCCTGTGGCTGACATACCAGAGCCATTGGGGCATCTCAACTGCGACTGTTTTAAATGCCTTCTGATGGGGACTGCCAGGCGGTACTTGAAGCATTATCAAAATGGCAGTAGAGTCAGGTTCCAGGTGTTCGTGTGCACACAGCTGCGGGTCAACAGACAGGGTGACTGGGTGCTGTCTGGCCTCCCTTGGAAAGCCCTTCTGATGCTGCACATCTGATCCACGTGTATTTACTTAGGGGGCTGGATTCTTGCAGAATCGCTCTACAGAAAACTATCAAAGGGACCTAGTAGACCTGAGTGCCTGCTCCTCTTGGAGGCTCAGGTTTCTTCCATACAAACAGCTGGGCCCCTAGAACAGAGGGAAGTGGGGAAGAGTGATCTCTAGACGGCCCTGCCTAGCTTCCGATTCACCACCACCCATGCCTGGTCTACTGTGAACAGTCTATCAATCCATTGACTTTTCTTATTTTTGCAGTCCTTTAAATCCACAAATGTATATGCTTTGTTTTATATTATTTATTATGTACATACATCTCTACTGTTAGTGTACCATCTGTGATTAAGACACTGTTTTGAAGCCCCTCATCCATGGAGCCCAGGGTTCTGTTGTCCCTTATTGGGTGAGAGGGTGGTGATTTTTTTTTTTTTAAGGAAAAAAAGACTGCACTGCTGCTCTTCCTCCGGCTTCTCTCATTGCCCTACCCCAACCCACTCCTGATGGCCAGTATCTGGGAGGTAGGTGGGGGCAGAGCTTCTCACGTCTTCACGAGTTACTGCGGATTTGTTTCTTCCCTGTGTGGTGGTAGGTGTGGCTCCTTCCTCATCACTCCCAAGCCAGATCGGTTTCCTAGGATTGCAGAACCTGTCTGGATCATGGAAGCTGCCGGCGCTTTTAGGTTCAGAGCATGTCTCTTCCTGGTACCATGGCCCAGCTACCAACATCCCCTTGGGCCTACAGCCAGCTCCGCTTTGTCTGATGACCCCACCCTCCTTAGCTGTACCCACGGCTTCACGGTATACATTTCATGCTTCTGAGCAGTGGCATCAATGGAAAGCTAAACAAGCGCAGGTCAGGTGCACGGGCTTCACAAGCTGACTGTCATGATGGACGCGTTTATAATTAATTCCAATGTTGTAGATTTACAATACCTATTTATTTTGTACCAATTTATTTGTAAATCTTGTGATTGTTTTTAAAGGTTTTGTTTATTTCTATTCTATTTAGATAAATGGTTTTCTGTTCACCTCCAGCAGACGTTGTGTCCCTCTTTCCTCTGTGTAACAGCCATGCCGCTCTTCAGCCGTGGCCTCCTCCCCGTGGCTTTCCTGGTGGGCAAGCCTGGACTGGACAGCTCCAGGGGATCTTTGGACAGGCACTGCAAAGTCTCGTGTTCACACACACACAAGTTGAGTGCCTCCAAGTTACAGCCTGGTACAGCTGCTTCTGGGAGTGTTCTCCTCCCAAGAAGTGAGGTCTGCTCCCATCAACCATTCCCTAGAAAAAGGTAGGAGCCACTCAACTTGCTGTAGACACTAGTCGCCTAGTGACACACAGGAGCTAGGCAAAAAGAAAAGCTAAGTTTTCCCTGACAGTGGTGCCAGGGTTCTGTGTGGGCCTCTCAACTGGCTCTTAGAGACAAGAATGGCTGTGTAGGGCCTCTCACCAGAGGGGGAAGTTGGCTCGTGGGGGAGGCACCCTCCACTGACATGAGACCACAGGTACAGGGGCATTAGAGGTGCTTCTGCTGTCAACCCCAGATCTGTTCCTTTGGTCCCTCCCGACTCTGGTGACAAGACCCACGGCATCTTCTGGCTGAACTTCAGGTGTTTGGTGATCCACTACTGGGCTGCCCCTTTCTGGAATCCTTTGCTTTACTTCCTCTAGTTTACATTCCAGACAAGCCCACCCTCTGATAAGCCTCAAGTGGCCCCTCAGAAGGCCTTGCTATGCTGTACTCTGCTGGGCCATGATGCGAGGCGTTTTACTTAGCACCTGTCCTGTGTGGGGACATTTCAGTGTAGTGTTGACAAGACTGGCTTTAACACCTTTCTCCTGGACCATGACTTCCTGAAGGGGAATGAACGTCCTGCAACCCTGTGCCTGTCTGCCTCTCCCCAGACTCGGCCCAGAGCAGCAGGAAAGGAAGACAGCTGCCACACAACCCTCAGCTACCTGCTGTGGCTGGGTTTTCATCGGGATGAAAATGCCAAGGGGAGTGGAGGGAGTTCTAAGGAAGCCGTCACACCTGTGCCGGTTCCTTCGCGCCAAGTGGCGAGACCTAGCCTGGCACCGGCCTCTGGCAAGTTTACTTTCTGCTTTTTTGCAGTGCTGGGGATCAAACCCAGGGCCCTTTCACATACTAGGTAAGTGTCCCCACCTATTTTTGTGACGCTCCTCATTAAGCCCAACAGTTTGCGCAGATTAGACCGCTGACTTGCTCTTTTGCTATGGGATTGCTTCATTTTCCTGCCGAGGGCCTCGGTCTGTGCTCATATTTCCAGGCACAATGCTGAGGAAGTCGTAGGCTAAAGGAATGTTATGTGGCCCTTGTCATTTGTGCTGGCGGATGACCTGATGATGACATGTTCCTGAGGGGAATGAACGCTGGGCTGTGGGGAAATACTTCCTGCTGTTGTGTAGAGGCTCTGAGGGACTGAGAAGGCGGGAACACCATGCCCACGAGTCCAAGGTTAGCTCTACTGAGAGCCTCTCAGTTCAATGCCAGGAAGGTTTGCTTGGCAAACTCTCGGGACCTTGAGACCTCAAGGACGGTCGCTGTCTCCATGGGGACACAAGCTTGTTACCTCAGCCCAGTCTCCCAGGTCTCAAAGAGTGTGTCGTGGAACAGCTCCCTGCTCTGACTCTAGCAACAGGATGGAGCTTGGGAACCTTCCCGTGTGAAGAGACATCAAGTGGCCAGGCTCAAAACTGGGCATTTTAAGTTGGAAAAGTTATTTAGACACGTGGCACACAGATACACGTGTCTGCGGCGGTGCTCCGTGGAGTCAGGTGGAATCTTCCACTGTGTCTGAGAGGAACTTGGGGGGCCGTGTGCACTCACACACCACTTCAGTGGGGATGTGTGCTGAGGCGACCTCTGGGGAGCAGCACGGCAGCACTTTGACAAGCCAGCTAACCTCCCAAGGCTGCCGTGATACCCACGGTCTGTCGTTGACTGACAACGCTGGTGTACCACGTGGCTACTTCTATTTCTCACAATTTCAGTGTTTTCTCAGACATGTCACACTGCTGTTGCTGAGAAATGAGGGAAAGCGGTGAAAAAAGCTGTGAATTTTGTAAATGAATATTTTTTCTACATGATCTGCTTTCTGCTATTTCTGGACAGTGGTGGGATGGTGAAGTTCTGTTTTCCTGTGAGTGGAGGTGTGTGGCAGGCTGTGTGGCTCTGCGGTCCCCATGGAGGAGGGTGTGGCGGGCTGTGTGTGCATCATATATACGCCTCACTAGCAGTGCACTTTGTTCCATCTTGGATAAGGATTTTAGTTTCAGGCATCCCCAAATGTATGGTTAGAAACTTTCCTCTGAGGAAAAGCTGTAGGAGGAGCTGATGTCCTAGTAACAAGAAGGAATGCCATGAGAAACTAAGTACGGAGGCCCCAACTCTCAAGCCACAGGGGGAATGGAGCTGCTAATCTTAAGGCAATGACTTCGGCATGTCATTTTCCCACCATCAGAAAGAGGTTAAATAGTTTCCATAACATGGAATGTGAGCAAAGTTCCTGTCCTAATACAGACTGAAACATGGTTGTTTATCCCAGGCTATTCATGGTGAAGAAGTGGAGGGTTTTAAAATTGCCCAAGAAGCCTTGGAAAAATTGCAGGACTTTAAAGTTGTTAAACAAATAAGTCTGATTTAGAAATATCTAAACATGGACAGGCTCCTTTTAAATCTGAGATGTAACTGCATAACTTTTGTAAGTGGCTTTCTAAAAACAATGTGACTTAGGGCTTTGTAGTCAGTCTATTTAAAACAGAATTTAGAAAGCATTTTAGAGTAGCTTGAAGGGGGGCGGTGGCTTACTTTATAGATCTCAGCAGACCTATGCTTATGGTATTCGAAAATCTTGGATCTAAAACAAATGCTGAGCTTTCTGTGCTTTGAATGGTTCCCGAGATGCTCATGGGGAAGTGTGCACCAGGCAGTTGCTGCTCTGGCAGTGGGACCCTGCACACTCAGGCTTCGAGTTCAGTCTAGCACTGAAGAAGGGATTTTTGAAATCTGACGTTCTACAAAGCCTGAAGACTAAGGCGCATTTTCAGAATCCTGGGAAGGGTGCTCAGGAGTGATGCAAGGCCTGCCATTTTTGTCATCTAATTCATTCAGGTTTAAGAAAACAATGGAGGTGGGCATGGTGGCACACGCCTTTAATCCTAGCGCTCAGGAGGCAGAGGTGAGTTTGAGGCCAGCCTGGTCTACATAGTGACTTCCAGGACAGCCAGGGCTACACAGAGAAACCCTGTCTCAAAAAAAAAAAAAAAAAAAAGGAAGAAAACAGAAAAGAGCAATGGCGAAGTCTAACTATTGACAACAGAGAAGTCACGTTTTGTGTTCCGAGATGTCCAGTCACATGCAGACTGCTGGCACACACTGACCAGGGAATCACCTGCTGCTCCCTCATGGAGCCCTAGCTCGTCAGCAGACCCTCTGCTGATCCTGAGGAAAATGCAACTCGACATGAAGTCTCCACTGTGGGCTCTCCAAGCAGTCTCCCTACGTCAAACTGCTACGCACACAACACAAACAACATAAGAAAGCAAAGCAGAGCGGTGCCCACCTCTGCTCTGAAGGAAGCCTAGGAACGCACTGCTACCAGCAAGGTGACTGTAGCTGTCACATGCCACAGGCATGACTTGGGCTGGGAAGCTCTAACCCGTCAGCACCAACTTAAATGAGAACAGGTAGGAACTAGCATGGCTATGATAGATCTGACTGGCCTGGGTATGTTCTAGATACCAGTCAGAACACATGGTACTTGGTATGACTTACTTTAAGGCCACAGTTAGCGAGGCTGTGCAGCCGCAGGCCTTGGCTAAGTTGCAGGGCTGTGTTCCATACCTATTAAAGGATTAAAGCTGGCTTGCTTTAATGGTAGAGCACACCTTTAACCCTGTTGCCCAGGAGGCAGAGGCAGGCACACCTCTGTGAAATTCAAGGCCAGTCTGTTCTACAAATGGAGTGAGTCCCAGGGCAGCCAGAGCTACATAGATAAACTTTATCTTAAAAATAAAATTAAAAAAAAAAAAGCCAAAAACCTTGGTGAAAAAAATCTTTATACCTATGAAACACTGTACATATAAGCATGTTCTTTAACTAAAAGTGATACAGATATAGTTAGCAATTTTGAAAATGTAATTTCCGTTAAGAGAATGTCAATCCTAGAGCCATCCAGAGACCAACGGCTGTGACAGCTGACAACTGTAGTGCACAGGTGGATGTCAGCATGAGACTCAGACTCCACTGAGCTCCAGAGCAGCCAGTACCCTAGTGACCAGGGACAAGAATGGAAGAAAACGACTGAAAATTAAAGCAAGAATCTGTAAACTACCCCAAGTGTTGAGCAACTCCCTGAACTGGCAGGGTAGTCGCATGCCTTCATGTTCACAGGCCCTTGCTTTACTCAGAGCAAGAAGTGATTTCCCGGAGCAGTCTCAAGTGCGCTGATTCTGACTGCCTTTGGCTAGAGAGCCCTCCCATCTGTGTGGGGAGCAGGATGTGCCTGCAGTCCATGCTGGCGAAGGCAGCTCTGGCTGGAAGCAGCAGCCGCTCTTCTCAGGGAACTCGTTCCTGTCTTCATGTCTTCAGCTGCATTCCCCAAAAGGATTGTTTTCATAGAGCAAAAAGCATTTGTGCTACCGATTTTTTAAAATGTAGCAAGGATGAGGACTTTTGCCTCAAATTCAAACCCCTGCAGTCTAGTCTAGAACCACACTACAGCAGGGAAACCCACAAAGGCACCAACACAGCAGCAGCCTTGCCAGGGCCACAGAGGAAACCCAAAAGCTAACAGAAGGAAACTTGACCTGACAGGGACTGACCACACTTGATAATGAAACAACGCCGTTCTCCACGGACATACAATACTGTGCAATACCCTGGGGAGGTGGGTTCGGAGCAACAGCACAGTTGTACCACGGCACTGTGGCTCTAGGCTCCGCTCTGAACCCCTTTCCTACCCTAGTGTATGGAGATGACACACTGACGCAGACAGACAGGGAGACACTATCACAA